GGTTTCCATAAATATCTTGATTATAATTAATGAACCATAATTATCTCCAATAAATATATCTCAATTAAGGTTTGTATGAGTTGTAACAATTATACTACATGGTTTGTACCTAAAACTTCCGATATCTTTGACTCTCTCTCTCTCTCTCTCTCTCTCTATATATATATATATATATATGTGTGTGTGTGTGTGTGTGTGTGTGTGTGTGTGTGTGTGTGTATAGGGAGAGGTCCATTTAAGAAGTGTTAAATGTGTAAGAAATAGAGAAGTGATCCTAACTTTTCAACTGGTCAAGACTTGTGGCTTGACTGTAAAACACCGGATAATTTAATCGCATGGTATGTGAAAGATAAAGAGATAGTTTTGTAACTTTTATAAATAGACGGCAAAGAAGTGCATATGTAAACCACTGTGATTTACATATGAAATATCTGTGCATATGTGAATCCCTCTGGTTTACGTATGAACTATTTAACTGATTCACATATGAACTAATTAACTGATTCATATATGAACTAATTAACTGACTTATATATGAATTATTTAACTGATTATTTGTCGCCTATTTGTTAGAATCGTTAATCGGTTCACATGCATTTGTTTGCCGCCTATTTCTAAAAGTTACAAAACCATCTCTCTATTTTTTGAATAATTGTTACCATGCCGGAAATCTTGACCATATGAAGGGCTAGAATCACTTCTCAACTTCTCACACATTTAGCACTTCTCCAATGACCTATGGCTATATACATAAATAAAAGATCATGTGAGAATATGAGTTAATTTAAGAAGCGTAAGAAAGGATATGAACCATTTATCACTTTTAATCTTACCCGCACCCCATTAATCGCGATTGATACAGGAATTGATCTGATGTATCTCATTACTGTTGATTATTAATTAGAATTGATCAAAAAATGGAGATCACTTATTACTATTCTCAACGTAACTTTCATTCTCACTGAAATATAACCCTATATATAAGCATAATCATTTGTTAACCAAGTCCATAGTGTTGTTTCATCTATTTATTTCGATCATTCCGATTTTTTTACCCAAGTTCACGTGTGAAACCAGAAAATTCATAGGTGAAACATTGATTTTCTTAAGGTTCATAAATGAAAACAATGATTTATGTTTTAAAGTTTATAATGTTTTTTTTTTTTTTTTTTTTTGTCTATAAACATTGGTTGTTCCAATTTTTTTTTAATCGAAATTCACTGGTGAAATCAGAAAGCGAATAAGATAATTAAGAAAATTTTAAACAAAGTAAATGAAACAATTAAGGAATGCGATACTAATATATGAAAAAAAACAAAAATATCCCAATTAATAAAGTCAATAGTAATGAAACAATTGATAAAAGAAAGTATATATATATATATATATATATATATATATATTGAGAGAGAGAGACAGAAAATATGTGATTTGATGAATATGTGATTTTATAAAAGTTTTGATTGTTTTCTTATATAAAGTATTGATAATAATTAATGAATTATAGTTATTTTTCATAAATATTCAAATCATAATAAATGAAATCTCATCATTTCTATAAATATCTCAATTAATAGGATTACATAGGTTATAAAAATGGACATGGTTACGTTTAAAATATACCATATATATATATATATATATATAGGGGCTGGTTCAAATAGAAACCAACCATATGGTACAAACTATGTGAACCGATCTTGATCGTTCATTTTATCATCAAACGGTTATTATTAAATGAGATTAAATAAACAACAATTTAATTAATGTATTAATTGATATGTGTATGAACAATTGTTCAAAGGGTAAATTGGTCAAACGGTCATTATTAAATGAGTATTAAAAAATAATCAATTAATCATTAAATTAATTGGGTTGCTTATGAACAATTGTTCACAGGGTATTTTGGTAATAAATCCTCACGCATCGTGAACCCGATATTCTTCAGCCGATTTGTAACCTACGATCGATTATGAACATATTCACAACTCRTGTTCACATGTCGGCCCTATGCTCGTGTGAACAACATATGTGTCTTGCAATGTAAACACTATGTTCATATATGTTCACATGTCGGCCCTATGTTCGTGTGAACAGCATCTGTGTCTTACAATGTAAACACTATGTTCATATGGTGTGATGTTTTTTAATGTCATACCGTATGACATCATCACGGGTTCGTGTGAACAACGATTGTGTCTTTCAAYGAAAACAAGTTGTTCATATGGTGAACATATATGAACATATACTGCAAGAGATGCACATATATGAACATTTTCAAAATCAAGGATCGTTGTGCACGTGTGCAGATATGAACATAGACTGCAAGCGTTTATCGTCTTCATTATTCTGACATTMTTTTACAATAGGATTYTCCATGTATCTTGAACGAAATGAAAATCTTGTACACTTAGACAACCAATTTCAATATATGTATAAAATCAATTGAAATGAATACCATGAACATGAAATAATAAAAAAATCATAAAAATCTCATGAACAATTAGATGTATCTTTTAAGATTTGTAACTCCCAATTAATTATTGGGGGTTACAAAAAGGTTGAATTACCAAATTACCCTTATCATTAATTTATAATTTAGATTTGAACCTAAAATGAAGAAAGAATGTGATTGGTCAAGAT